TCAGCTAGTTGTTGTGGTTCACCTGGCTCTTCAGGTTTAATAGATGAACTGGTAGGTGGTGGTGCTGCTTTGCCACTGCTGTCTAGTGAATCGGGATTCGATGAAGAAGACATTCGAAATATTAACTAGATATTCAAGTTTATCTGTAATATTTTCATTAAAGACATTGAACGAATCATGTATATATGACTTGTTGAAGAGATAAAATTTTTAGAAATGACTCTCTGTGGAAAGGAGTATGTGTCAACTTTCGAAAACTATTGTGTAGAATATTTATCATATCCTAAAATAACCGTTCTGTAGTTACTTTTAGCGCGAACTTTATTCCTTGGAGTATCGAAGTGTCCATATAATGTAACAGTTCGAATTCAATTTATCTGTATATATATCAGAGTGGAATGTGGTTTTTTTTGCAGTGGATTAGTCCTATGATGAATCAAGAAAGAAGTTTGTATGAAGACCTCGATTAGTCTCTGAATAGATGTTAGATTTGAATGCTTGTTGGTTAACTGTGTTGAAACAGTGGCATATCAGGTATCAGAACCATCGGTGTGAAAACTAAGTCCAGAGTGAACGAATTATGAATCATTTTCCATAGACGCTTTTTTTCTGTAGAAATTCATGTATAAATGTTTAAGTTCAAACTTATTTTCTTTACTGAGATTGTAATACCTGAAATGCCATTCTTTCAACATAGTTCACCAATAAGAATTCGAATATAGCATCTATCTATGAGGCATTGCACGAAACGGATGACGCAAATATGGACCATGCAATCAATTGATACGACCCGTTTCAATTAAACCTTTTCTCTAAGTAGCCCTAAATGAGATATGAAAACACCGAAAACCTTTTCTTCTCAAAAGTTTTTCCACTTGTGATATTGAAATCCCAATAGGCGCAAGATTACTTAAAAGATGACGATAGCAAATGCGATGCTCTTTGATTGCATAGTTCGCCATTTTTCAATAACCACATTTTTACTCATGACATTTTTTGGCTACATACCACACCAGGTGCCATACATACTGACACACTCAAAACCACTTTTCGGCATCGTAGGTAGTATAGAAGTATTCTATAAATCTTACATATACCTTCCACTTTGTGACCAAGATTTCTATCGCTCATCAGCGACTTGTATGATGCCGCTTTGGAACTAAGTACTACTGACCTTTAGTTATTAGTAACAATTATCAAAATGTGGGACTTTTACTTTTGACCAGAACAGAAATCTTTTCTGATGTATATATGAACTAATTTGGATAAGATCGAGATCCACTTTCAGATAATCTTCCCAGTAGAGGTCGTCAGATCTGACCAAAAATATATCCGTTTAACTCGAAATTTTTAATGTGCATACATCTCAATTCGATGTATTTGTGATATAAAAATGAGTTCAGATGAGAGAGCTATTGATGATTATATCAGTAGTACCAGGTGGACGACATAACAGCCATTGATCGATGTTTTGTGTATATGCAGAATATTCCAAAAATCAGCGAGAAAAGTAAATTCGAGTAATTTCCCTATTTATCAAACTTGATCAGCACATTTTTTTTCCATTATAGGTACCACTGTGAAATGGTTTTTGATACGGACGAACTTCATAAATACTGCTCAAAGTGATTACTTTTAATTGAAATACAAAAAAACAATCGCTTTCGGATTGCCAAAACGAAACACTGCGCAGTATTTCTCTCTTAACACTCCAACTTTTTGTGTTCAGGCTGACTAGATCTTGTTCTATGTTTTCTAAGCATTTCGTTTTGGGATGTCACTACAAAAAGAAGCCTAATGGTGTCAAGCCTGGTGATCATGAAACTGATGAAATCGTTTGTATTTCCGAACCATGGTTGATGCACTGGAAGAAGTGAACCGATCCTATGAGCTTCATGATCACCAGACATGATATCATTAGTTTTCGTTTTGTAGTGACATGCCAAAACAAATGCTTAGAAAGGATAGTACAAGATCTGGTCAACCTGAACGCAAAAAAATTAGAGCACTAAAAGAGAAATACTGCGCAGTGGTTTTTTTTGGCAATCCGAAAACGATGGTTCTTTTGCATTTCAATTGAAAGTAATCACTTTGAACAGTATTTATGAAGTTCGTTCATATCAGAAACCATTTCACAGTGGTACCTATAATTTAAAAAAATGAGCTGATTAAGTTTGATAAATAGTGAAATTACTCGAATTTACTTTCCTCGTGAATTTTTGGAATATTCTGTATATACACAAAACATCGATCAATGGTTGTTATGTCGTCCACCTGGTACTACTGATATAATCATCAATAGCTCTCTCATCTGAACTCATTTTTATATCACAAATACATCGAATTGAGATGTATGCACAGTAAAAATTTCGAGTCAAACGGATATATTTTTGGTCAGATCTGACGACCTCTACTGGGAAGATTATCTGAAAGTGGATCTCACTCTTATCCAAATTAGTTCATATATACATCAGAAAAGGTTTTCGTTCGAGTCAAAGGTAAAAATTTCAAGTTTTGATAATTATTACTATTAGCTAGAGGTCAGTAGTACTTAGTTCCAAAGCGGCAGTATATAAGTCGCTGAGGAGCGATATAAATCTTGGACACAAAGTGGAAGATATATCTAAGACTTATGGAATACTTTTATACTGCCTATGATGCCAAAAAAAATGATTTTTAATGTGTTAGTATGTATGGTACCTGCTGTGGTGTATAGCCAAAAAATTCCATGAGTAGAGTTGTGGTTGTTGAAAAATGGCGAAATATACAATATATGAATACTGCATTTGCTATCGTCATTTTTTGAACTAACCTTGCGTCTATTGTGATTTCAATATCATAAGGGAAAAGTTTAGGAAGAATAGGTTTTTGATGTTTTCATACCTCACTTACGGCTACCTACAAGGAAAATTTCATTGAAATCGGTGACATGAGCTGAGTTCGATTGGTCGTCCATATCGTGCAGTGCTCCCCAGAGACTAATTGAAGTTTCAACGAAAACTTCTTCCTCGATCCGGCACTGAACTGGTTCAATTTAAGAATCCCATATTGAACGCTATCATTGTTCTTAAAGAGATCGTGCAGTTCTGCTTAATCGAGCTTCTAATTTACCGTCGTCTACATCTTCTTTTCTGCAGCCATGACATGAAACTACAAATGAAAGCGACATAATTACTAGAAGTTTTTTTTCCTTATTTCTTACCAATAAATAATACTTAACATCGTCCCAAGTTACAAACTTCTTGTATTCGTTGTCTAAAATCTATTGTTTTTTGTAAATAAAAACCTATATGATTATATACAATAATTTCGAAAACTTTATTATCTAATCAGCCTTTAAAAGTATATTTCAATGATTATTGTTTTGTTCTGAAAATTCAACATGCCGAAGTTAACATTGAAAAAATATTCGACCTTTTTCCATTAAATATCAGTGAGATTTTCCCCATTATTTATCACTATATCAAAATCATTCAAAGACGTTGATGCTTGTTTCTTCGTATGGTCATCAGTAATTAAAGCAACGTTCTTCATCGTCGTTGCAGGATTTGTATTCGTACTATTAGCTATTTTAGAACTGCTATTGAAATATGTATGTTGTATTTGTTATTGACTTGTTATTTTATATAAGTGGTTGGCGTTAACACATATACAGGTATGCAATGAATAAAAAAATACACAATGAAGACAAGAAAGATGATTTATCAATAGAAAAGCTTATCTTCGCGTTTTATATAAACATATATATTCAACTGAGTGACAAACAAAGCTGTCACTGTTTGTATTGATGTTGATATTACGCCTCATTGCTTTTTTCTCATTTTTCTCGTTCTTTCTTCGATCAATACAAACAAACGGACTTTAACACAAGATTACTCATCAATACGAGTTTTTAACTCATAACCTATCCCCGAAAAAAAAACATATATTTCCCTGGGCAAAATAAATTGCACACCTTATTTTATTCGATTTTCTCTCATCATTGTTATTCTGTCTTATGCTTATATCACAAATACATACTCGGTTGCTTAACTTATCCTGAAAGTTTCACTCTTATAGACTGAGAATTGGAGGAGAAAATAACGAATATGTCTCATGTGCTTATATGTTACTGAAACCAAAAATTTTTATTTTTTTTAATGTATCTGTTATTTTAGATTCCATTTGAAATATCAAGTGGTAGTAAAGCGCTTCTGAGACATGACTGTGCAACGGGACATCTTAAGATATGTCGTTGCAAAGTCATGCCTCTAAGCTACCGAATTACCACTCGATATTCCAAATGAAATCTAAAATAACAGAAACATTTTAAAAAAATTAGTTTCAGCGATACATAAGTGTATGAGATATACATATTTATTGTTTTCTTTGCCCATTCTCACTCTATACGGTTGACGCTTTCAGAAGAAGTTAAGCAATCGAGCATGTATCAATGATATAAATATGAAACAGAACAGCAATGGTGGAAAGAGACAATCGAAAAAATATGATGATTGGTTTATTTTTGGCAGGGTGACATATAAATATATAAGATATATAAAAATATTAGAAAAAAAAAAGTTTTTATGTATCTCATTTCATAAGCATAAATTCAAATAGTGAAACACAACAAATAGTCGTTTATTATTCTTTGATATGGCACATTGAGTTCAATAAGTATTCTTTGGATCGAAGGTTAATTAAGAATTTATTCTTATTGTATGCATATTATTGGTTTTCTTTATTATTTTGAATACAAAATCAATTATTAGATATATAAGACAATGATGTCTGTTAGTAAATAAGAAAGTTTCATAATTCATTGAAAAAAAAATTGACAATAATTTTCAACGAATAATATTAAGAAGAGTGATACATTTAAATGCTATGTAATTAATTAACGTTCGTTTACTTAAGAAATGTATTCATTTGCTCGAAGATCTTTTTTTTTGTTGCACATATGAATATTATTTATCACATAGATGTAAAACGGCTCTCAATACGATACTTGCTCATGTTTGGGATTTACGTATTATGAATTCAAATCATTTATTAATTAATATAAACATACCATATTATTAGAAGAAAGAAGCAGACTGATTTATTTCTTCTAAATTTCATCTCTGTGTTCCACCCTCCTCCCTGTTTTTTTTTCTGCTATGAATAAACAATGTTTTTAACCTTTTGGTGGAATAGATTGACAATGTAAAAGTGAGGTTCTGTTTCCAATTTTTTTTAAAGAGTACTTAGTTATTTTCTTTCGAAAAGAAATATATTAAAAACAAAACAGACAATAAGACAACTATGTTAAAAATATGATTTGATCGTCAACATATCGAAAACTTATTTAATAGATACTATGGAATACCATGCACAAAATCCAGTACAATGCTTGATATTTGAATGTTTTAAATGATATGAATTTTAAATAATTTCACCAATTGGATCTATTGAACGCGAACTAACTTTTAGTGTACTACAACAAATTAAAATAAAACTATGCAATAGTCTTTCACAAAAAGCCTTAGAGACACCTGTAGAATTTAATATATATTACAATCACATGTTACGAAAGACAATTAAAACGATATTGAAAAAACATTTTTGTATGTATTCAGGATGCGCAAAAGCGTGCAATATCAAAACACATAAATACCATTTTTCTAATTTACTCACAAGAAATATCGTTCAGGCATAAATTTAGAAACATTTCTATTACAATAAATATTTTGTTAGTTTTTCTAACAATGAGAACATGATGACATTGACTCATTGGTTAAATTTGATTACAAAATAAATAATCTTTTTAGCACAATGAGCATCATGTGTTTTTTTTTCTACAAAAAGCATTACTTGTTTTTTTTTTTTGATACTGGGGTCGTGGCGACCCCATGAATGATTGTCCAAAAAATTCAATAGTTAATAGATGTATAGCTTTTTTGATATCGGTTAAATATTTTCGTCGTATTTTTCTCGTTTCGGAGACATGGAGGACATTGAATAATTAATGAAATTTAAAAGAAATTTTTCTATAGTTTTTATTTATAGAAGAGCAGGGATGTGTAGTAGCAGTTTATAACAGCGAGGATATATAGCATCACATGTTTGTTTTATAATTAAGATATCAAAGTGCAATAAATTGTTGTAAGCACTAATCAGATTGCAGGCTAAATTCCTTGTCTAAATACTTTAATCGATGATATATGGTGCATAATTATTCTCGTTGAGTTTTCGACCGCACTTTCTGATGCGGCAGTAAAAAACAAACAGGAAACGGTGAAACTATTTTTATTTACAGAGATTAATGTGACTTGATTTTGTGGGTTCTAATCTACATCAACCACTTAATCTGGTTTGTAAAGCTTTATTCCTAATATAAATTTTTTTCTATTTTTTCGTGCATTCCAATCTCAACTGAAATTTCCGTGTCAGTTGTGACATATATAAACAAGATTGATGATGAACAGTAGACAAAACGTCGCACAACTATTCGAAAGAACATTACTTTTAAAAATATTAATGTAAACAGTTTTTTGTGTTCAGTAGAAATAGATTTGTTCTCATTGATCTGTTCGTGATTGATAACGTGACAATTTAAAGCTTCAACTGAAAACATACTTCTGAGAAAAACTGATGAATGAATGATTTCTTTGTAGTGTTGGAAGATTTTCTCCTTTAACTTTCTCCTCCTTAGCAGAATCAAACGAAAGCTATGAACATAAATAGAGTCATTGAGTATTACTTGATTTCAATGAGTTAATGATCAATCGTCCAAGTGAACATTGAAAAGAGAAAATGAAATAATTCGATTCAACGCATTCATGTTCTCGATTTTAGTGAACATGTACATGCTGATATGTAAACATTCTTACAAAAATGTATTTTAGAAATTTCAATTCAAATTTTTTAAGTCATATTTATGAAAAAAGAATTCATTTCTTTTTTATTATCTTTATCTAAATCAAAAGAAATTGTTATTGAGTTGAACGGTAATTTAAATTATCTGGCTTGGAACACCAGAAATACTATTATTTGACTGAAATAAAAGAAAACGAGTTGGTGATGAACTAATCCACGATATAGCAGATACAAGACGATTTACAATAGTTGTATTTTCATTCTAAAAAGAATAAAAATTAAATTCTTATAAAAAAAGGGTCAAGTCATCAAAAAAATTCATATCAACAATTGTCGGAAGACGAGGATCAGTAGTTCTTTGTTGAGCAAGATTAGCTGTAATTGAATAACATCGTGAAGGAGGTTTTGAGATTGAAAAAATAACTGGCATAGATAGTTTTGTTTTAACTATGCCTAATTATCTAATAAGTGCTGATGATAGTCTTCGTTATTCAAGTGTTTGTGTCGGTAGTGAGACAACACGTGTTACTTGTGTATGTTGGTTTTCAACTTCATGAACTGTTTCAAGTAGTTTACATGGTGAATGTATATATGGTAATTGCGAAGCAGCTAAGCTTGTGAAAACTAAACAAAATATTGAGTAGCTGATAGTTGTGGTCCAATCATTGAAACAATCCATACTGATAAATCAACACTTGTTGAACAAGGAGCTGTTAGATATGTTTTAGTTGTATGGACAACAATTAATAATTGACATGATGATGTTGATAATTGACTAAGTAAAGAAAAGGAAAGATTTACTGAAAGAAAAACTAATTTAGATAAATTGAATTAATTATTTAAATTCTTGCCGTTTGGTTGTTTATCATATGTAACGAGTACAAGTACTAAAGCAAGAGTAGTTGCAGTAAAAAATACAATAAGAAGACGAGGTCATTTAACAAGCAATGCAAGTGCATGACCATACATTAAGACCAATCATTTCTCAAACAGCGCCAACTATAAAGAATTCATGAGGTTCATTTGTAAATGCATGTAATGCACTACTGATACCTTTTCAAAAATTCAAAAAAGTATTTTATTTTGATGATGAATTTTTTTATAGCATCTTATAAATAATGATCTAGAAAGGCCAATTTAATTAGTGCGACATTAACATTCAAAACTCTCTCAAATTTATCAGTTACTATAAACTATCAAATAGGAAGCTGATGTTATGAATATTTTCCCTATTTACTAGAAAACTAAAGTGGGAACATGTGCAAGTGTCAAATCACTTTTCGATTGGAACGGTATGCATTTGATGAGTAATAGAAAAAGTTTAGAATTGTTTGGTTTTCAAGACCTTCGTTTTCGAGTTATTGAAATTTTAAAAGACTTCTCGTCTCACTCAAATCATGCAGCAAATCGAATTTCAACTTCAAACTTTGCACAACTTCGATTCCTAATGAGATTAGTTCATTGAACAAGTTTTAGCTTTTATAGTATTTCTTTCCTTGAAATGTAAATTTATCTCAGAATAGAAGACGTTAGAAAAGTTACAACTTGTCCAATGAACTAAACTCATTGAGAACTTTGTTCATGCAAAAGTTTGAAGTTGAATGTCGATTTTTCATGTGATCTAAGGGGAGGGGGGGGGTCAAAAATCTAGTACAATTTCGATATCTCAAGAACGAAGACTCGATAAGCCAAACCATTCTAGACTTTTCTATTACTCATCAAATGTAGATCATCTTGGTTGAAAAGTGATTTGACACTTAGAAAAATTCTCTGTGGGATACACTAAAAATATCTGCTGCAATTTATTGATGAGAAATTTTTTTTAAATTTTTATCTAGTATTATATATTTTACATTCAAATACATAAAATCTATTATATTAAGGATATTATGAAGTTCTTTGAAGGAAAAAAAAACGATTCAGTTTGTTATATTATTGAAACATACCTAAATAAACAGAAATAGTCACTGCCCAAAGAACAATAAAAATTAAATATTTTTTTCATTAATTTCAATTGACAAAGTCGTTTTTATACATTTAAATAAGCTTCTCTAGCAGCAATTGCATGAGTTGATAAACGAGACTAAAATAATTCTAATCGATCCTGTAATGGTCACCGATTTATTAAAAATATTCTTTTAAATACTTTTCTTGCTTCTATAACACGGTTTTGTTGTATCAATTATCGTGGTGATTTAGGTATAAGTATATTAATGACAAAACATATATTTAGAGTCCGATATGTTAATTTATAATCCTTTTACTGTCTCGAAATAATAATTTAAATAATTTGATCCAATGCAAATGAATATGCAAGTATGTTAGTAGCTAAAACACGTCGGCTTGGTCTAGAAAATTCTAAATGTCGAGCAAGTGAGACTGACTGAATGAAATGCTATTGTAAATTCTTGAAACAATCGACATATTGTAAAAACAAGAAGTTTATGTGTTGGTGAATATAAACATAACAGCATTCTCTTTAATACAATCATTAATATAATAACAAGTAAATCAGGTTGTGGATGTGGGATATTCTTCTCATTCACACTAGTACCGATAGTCACACACCAATTTAGCAACAGTTTTCAGATCGTTCAAGGAATTGACTACGCGTAAGAGAAACCAGTCTGACTTCACGATTGATATTTTCATAAATGAGAATAGATATGTACTTTTTCTACCAATGCACGCATTCTAATCATTAACTGCTCTGACCATACATTAATCTGCTTCATCTCTAAAAACAGGGCTGAATGTGGATGATGTATTGTGTGCATAGCAGAGATGGGCAAGTCAGCTATTTTTTCACACAAGTCAAGTCAAGTCATTTCTGGAAGAGAATCAAGTCAAGTCAAGTCATTGATAAAAATAAAAAGGGTTGAAGTCAAGTCAAGTCAAGTCATTGCTTTGAAGTCCAATATCTCAAGTCAAGTCAAGTCAAATCTGCGAT